GGTTAATGGATTTTTTTGACTTCCTTATTAAAATGTAGATTTTCATTGCCTTTACAATATTGTGCTGACATTTCTATTCCAATTTAGTGTTACTACCGAATACACATTTTATGAAAAATACTTTTTTGAAACATTTTTTCTTGGAAATAGACCCATTAAATACAAATGATTTGTGGAAATGCCATCAGATTGTTTTATGTATAGTTTTCCATAAAATAGAAAGACACTGGAAATAATGAAAACCATAAAAAAAAGAAAGTTTATTGTACATTAATGGTTTACAATGGCTGAAATGGGTCAGTTCAATTGAAACAAGGATCACAGGGGTTGCAAGTACAATTTGACCCATGTTCCTTGAATCTCCTACATTTTACCCCATTCGCTCTACTACTTTAATTTGATCCTATTGTGCATCTAAAGCCAAAATCATTTTTATGTTTTAGATAGAACAGGGGAGAGCAAAAACCAGTTAGTTTTTTTGCTATCTGTTTCCCCCCTGGGAAAATGTCTCTTCAATTTCTGTCTCAAAAACACAACAGGAATTTAGAAGAGAGAAAGTGAGAGATTCTCTTTCAGAAGTTATCACTGCAAAAAGTGTTTCCATTGGAAGATTACTCCTCTATTCCTGCTCTGGTAACAGCCTAAATTTTTGGATAAATGTTATGTTAGATACACTTAATTGGAAGCAGGTTCAGTTCATAACAGCATACACATTGAGCTATGACCTGAATCCCAATATTTAAGTAGTCATGAGCTGGACCTGCACTCATCTGTGGATTTGTGGCTGACAAAAGTGGGCCAACCTGGAGCAGTGCTGCTCTACATTATTTGTTTGGACACTTAGAAGTGACTTAGTTATCTTATCAGAGGCCATATAATGTGTACATGATAGGACTTCTGATGCACTATCAATGTAGCAAAGGAAAGGGAGTTCAATTTTTGAAGGCCAATGTAACTTGTAATCATGGTGCTTAAAAGAGGCACAAACCTCTGCCGGCCGGATCGATCCACCACACCGCACAGAGGAGTCGGGTGAGACAGTGCCCCTTCGTTATGGGGAAACCCGACAGGGTGTCCTCCGGCGCTCGGTCCCGGTCCCCGAGGGGCCCTAGCACCACTGGGAGGCACATAAAGGAGCTGTTCAGCTCCCACCAGCAGAGAGCAGGGCCGCAGCCTTCTCCCTCTCTCTCTCCGTCCCCCTCTCCCCCTCCCTCTGCAGCCGGGGACACAGGCTGCTCTCACTGCACTGAGACACACGCTGGCCAGGACACAGTGCCACATCATGATATCTCCTCTGCCACACAGTCCCTCTCATTAAGGGACTTACAAGCGGTGGCTGCTGACATTAAGGTCACACTAACTACTACACTGACCACTGCCCTTAACGACCTGCGCGAGGATATCCGCGCTATGGGGTCCAGAATGAATCAAGTAGAGATGGCCGCTAGGCAAAATAAGACCGCCATAGTATATTTACAGCGACAGTCAGAGTCGCACACCTCGACTATCCGGGATTTTTACAAGCATAGAGGATCTAGACAACCGTGGCCGTAGACACAATATCAGAATCCGTGGCATGCCGGAATCCGTGGAAGCCACTGACACTCCTAAGGCAGTAACTACCATCTTTAATGACCTCTTAGGCCGCCCGCCAGCAACTCCAATTGACATCGAGCGTGTACATAGGGCCATCCGGCCTAGGGGGGGTGACGCAGACCCACCCAGGGATGTGGTATGCTGCATTGTCAGCTTCCCGCTCAAGGAGAATGTCCTCAGATGTGCTAGGGACAGAAGACAGCTAATGTACAAAGGGGCGGAATTCAATTGTACCAGGACCTATCCAGCATGACCTTACGCCAAAGGCGAGGCCTGCGTCCATTACTAGACACGCTTCGCTCCCGAAATCTGTCCTATAGGTGGAGATTTCCCTTTTGCCTTTCAGTACAGGCTGGTGGTCACACCTTTAACTTGAGAAACCCCGAAGATCTACCGTCTTTCTGTTCCTCCTTGAACATCCCACCGATAGCCCTGCCAGATTGGTGCGGACTCTTGGGACTGCAGCCGGCCCTGGACGCAGGATCTGCAGAAAACGCAATGGATTGGCAAGGCCATTCCCATCGTAGATGTCGGACAGTCCCGTCGACTCCTCCAAGACACCCCACAGGGGGCACTGCTGCTGCCCCTAGCCCTACGGCTTCGCCTGCGCATAGAAAGTCACGGCACGAGACTTAATCCTACCTAATCCTCATCTACTCCTGCCACTCAAGCGCATTTTCTAACAGGTGCCTGCAGTTTTACTGTTATCCTCATGTTTCTATATCATTTTTTCACGAGTCCCGGCGATTCTTCGATCTCTCACGCAATGATCAGTGGACCTTCATTACTTTCATTTCAATATCTGACCTCCCAAAGGGACCTCAATGCCCCAGAGGTCTGCTCCGCAACTAACGAATGGTGGACTTCTGTGAGCCCCCTATTGATCCTCTCTACGCCATGGTCAGAAGAGATCTATACATAATACGAATGGCTCCTCCTCCTGGACAGATGACTTATTCTTCAGATCTCTCTTCTCTTTCGACATTCAACATCCCGGTTTCAGTCAACAGACCTCGCGCTGACTTGCCCTATGAGCTAGACCCACACGTACTCCAACCTAATGTGGACCCCTGAGTCGTCTGTCTTCCTTTGTCCCTGCCCTTTTTGTTCCCCCAGAGCCTCCTCTTGCTATACTGGAAGAAGACCTATTTCTCCGTGGAAGTATCCAGATGACCTCTGCTTCTCTGCTGCCCGTCCCGACACACTCTGCTTAATCGGTGTCCTCAAAAAAAGAAGACCCTAACAGACTTTGTACAGTATATGATACAATTGGGGGGTGTGTTGGGGGCATGGGAGGGAGGGGGGGCTGGTTATGGGGAGGAAGCTGGGACTTATAGGGGGATGCCACAGATGGGGGGGGGGGGGGGTTTTTTTTTTTTTTGGCTTAGCGAGCGAACATCACCTCTCCTCGCCTCCTACTAAGCTGTCCCATCTGTCCCATCTGGACGTGCCTCTGCTTACTGGCCGGTCCCCGTCTCTTGATCCGGATGAGAATACGATTCAGGGGTTGCCTGCACTGTCAATGCTTCCACGGGACTTGCTTCCCCCGCACCCCTGTGACTTCCCCGATCTCCCTAGTGCGTGAGAGTTTCTACTCTATGGGACATGATTGGCGTTGACCCTGGAGTAGCCCAGATGTTTTTGCGCGATGCTTGGGACTCAACACTGTTTTTTCTGTTTTTGCATTGCTTTAACTGTTATTGCATATGTTGACCTGTTGATACTATGTTTCATGTAAGGGGATGCTTGTATTACTCATTTGGCCTCCTACAATTCCGAATATTGCCTTTTCCCCCTTAATTGCCTGCCAAATGTCTCAAAATTACCTGTTGGCTCACAAGTGGTTATGGCCTCTAAACCCTGACATGTGCCCTGCTACTCTACAGCGAGGGCTGGGACCCTGCGCTGCATATCATACCCCAGGCTTATTCTGAAATATGGGTCTTTGTAGACTCCTCCCTCTTCAAATCCCACTCCTTTAAACAAATTTTTACACATCTCATGGTGGTTTCCGACCGGCGGTGGTTCTACTCTCGTTCCCAACACAGTAGGCTCTGCGAGCTATTACTGAATATTTTTACGGCTATCTTCCCTATCTCGATTCTCCCCTTTTTTTTTTTTTAATTTTTATTTCTCTTTCCTTGCCTCATACTGTTAGTCTCCTTCTCTTATACGTGCTCCTCTCCTCCTCTTTTCTCTTTCTTTCTTTCTATTTCCTTTCAGGTGTTTTTTCCTCTCTCACGTGGAATAGCAGGTCTCTTCCTCTAGCCGTTTACTCTTACTATCTTTTCGCCCCCCGCCCCCCCCCTTTTTTTTTTTCTCTCTTTTTCCCTTCACCCCCCCCCCCCCCCCCCCCCCCGGGGCGCTGCATCTTTGGACACTCGCAATACTGATTGGTAAACATGCCGTCCCCCACCTCAGTTTCGAGACCAAGGTCCCTGAAAATCCTCTCACTCAACACCAAGGGTCTGAACACACCCGAAAAGCGCTCCATGTTGCTCTCCTATCTACATAAACAAAAGGCAGATGTTGTCTTCCTTCAAGAGACGCATTTTCGTCAGCATTCTATTCCCAAGCTTTTTAATTTCCACTTTCCCATAGTCCACCATGCCACTAACCCTCTGGCCAAGTCGAAAGGGGTAGCTATTTTACTCGCTAGACATCTTCCCTTTACTATGTCAGACTCCCTTGCTGATCCTGAAGGCAGGTACTTATTCATAAAGGGTTCATTCGCCAATAGACCCGTCACATTTGCTAATGTATACGCCCCTAATACCAAGCAGGTCTCTTTCACACGCTCAATAACTACCACCCTAGCTGCTTTCCATTCAGGTGTTCTGATCTTAGGGGGCGATTTGAATGTCCCACTATATCCTCTGCTAGACTCCTCCTCCGGAAGCTCCTTTTTACCGTTTAAGGCCCTCAAACAAATAAACATACAATTACAACACTTACAACTGCACGATTCCTGGAGAACTCTCTACCCCACGGTGAAAGATTACACATTTTATTCCGCACCGCATAATAAGTACTCCAGGATAGACTATCCTTTTCTGTCGCAATCAGATCTCCCGCTACTCCACGCCGCTTCTATAGAACCGATGATTCTTTCCGATCACCATCCCATCACCATGAATTTACGGTTCCCAGATACCTACACACGCTCGAAATATTGGCGCCTAAACGCCTCCCTTCTCGCAGACTCTGCAATCGAACAAGAGATTCGCACCAATCTGGTTGAATACTTTTCCTTCAATTGCTCCCCTGATACCTAGAGATGAGCGAATTATTCAAAAATTCGATTCGACTGATTCGGCGAATTCGTGAAAAAATTTCGATTCGAGTCGAATATATTCGCTGCGAATTTAACTTATAAAAGGGTGTTTCTAGGCTTCAGAGAGCCTTTATATTAGTGCAGAACACTGTACCTTTAATTTAAATGCCCTTGGAGTCTGCTGGGGAAGAGAAATAATACTGACAGTCAGTATGACATGCAGATGAGTGCCGTCGATCTTAGAATCACCGCACACTTCACTCATTTGGGCAGTCACGGGGCCAAAACCAGAGTGTGGAGCCACAGTGTGGCGGTGGAGGCAGCAGCAATGGGAGGCCATACAGCACCCTATGACAAAAATGGAACCCACCAGCAGTGTGAGTAGACCTGAAAGTGGCACATGGCAGAGTGTGGCGATGGAGACAGCAGCAATGGGAGGCCGTACAGGGACCCATGACACACTCTGGACCTGGCAGCAGCATGAGGAGGCGGTACAGGGGCCCATGACAGATTACGGGCCTGGCAGCAGCATGAGGAGTTGGTACGGGGGCCCATGGCAGATTACGGGCCTGGCAGCAGCAATGGGAGGCCGTTCAGGGACCCATGACACACTCTGGACCTGGCAGCAGCATGAGGAGGTGGTACAGGGGCCCATGACAGATTACGGGCCTGGCAGCAGCATGAGGAGTCGGTACGGGGGCCCATGACACACTTTGGACCTGGCAGCAGCATGAGGAGGCGGTACAGGGGCGCATGACAGATTACGAGCCTGGCAGCAGCAACTTGGACAGGAGGACGTTCAGCTTCTGCACCGTCGGGTGCGTGCTCGCAAACTGTTGTCTCTCTTGGAAAAGGATTCCAAGAAAGACTGCTGACGGAATAAGTGAAGAGGAGTAGCAGGAGAAGGAGCATCTGAACGAGCGGAATATGCCAACAAGCGACAAAAGGGGCCCATGACAGATTACGGGCCTGGCAGCAGCATGAGGAGACGGTACGGGGGCCCATGGCAGATTAACGAGCCTGGCAGCAGCAATGGGAGGCCCGTTAATCTGCCAGCACCCTATGACAAAAAAATGGAGCATGAGGGAGGCGCACACCAGTTAGGGGCCTCGGCTTATCAGTGTGTGAGGCAGAACCTGAAAGTGGCACATGGCAGAGTAGTGTGGCCCCCGATGGAGGACATAAGCAGCAATGGGAGGCTCGTTTACAGGGACCCGATGAGAGACATGGCAGATTAAGGGACTGGCCTGGCAGCTAGCAGCAGTGAGAGGAAACCTGAAGTGGAGAGCTCTACTCCGTGGGTGGCAGAGTTGCTGCGACCCTGGCCTACAGCAGCAATGGGAGGCGGTACAGGGGGGCCACACTCTGGAACCTGGCAGCAGATGAAGAGGGGTACAGGGGCCCTGGCAGATTAGCAGCTATGGGAGGCCCCGTTAATCTGCCAGCACCCCTATGACAAAAAAATGGAACACACCAGCAATGTCACGGTTTTTCCAAGGTGAATGGAGACCTGAAAGTGGCACATGGCACATTGTCGAGAGTAATTTACTTCCTCGGTGTGAGCGATGGAGGAAAACTTTGCCCCCGGCTACTCTCACTGGCTGACTGGCTACTTCCTCCGTGACAGCAGATGGGTAGCAATGGGAGGCCGTACAGACACTGCTGCGACCCTGGGACCCATAAGAGACTGAAACAGTGGACCATGACAAACTTGACCTGGCAGAAGCACGGGTACAGGGGCCCCATGATTGAGGCTGGGCAGCAGGCTTATGGGAGGCCCTTTACTGAGGCCCAATAAATGGAACACACCAGATGAGGAGACCTGAAAGTGGGCCATGGCAGAGTGTGGCGATGGAGGACAGCAGCAATGGGACCGTACAGGGACCCCCATGAGAGAACCGTGGACCTAATGAGGAGGCAGGTGCCCTTTGGCAGATTAGGGGCCCCTGGCAGCCAATGGGAGGCCCTAATCTGACCCTATGGACAAAAAAATGTAACACACCAGCAGTGGTGAGGAGACCTGAGCACGTGGCACATGGCAGAGTGTGGCGATGGAGAGACAGCAGCGAATGGGACCCTGGCAGGCAGTGAGGAGGTCAGGAGCCCATGCAGATTAGGGGGGGACCCATTAGACAGCGGTGGACCTGGCAGGTAACACAGCATGGAAGAGACCTGAAAGTTGGCACATGGCAGAGTTGAGGGTGGAGACAGCACAGGAGGGTACAGGGACCCATGAGAGAATCTGCGACCTGGCAGCAGCATTAAGGCCCTGGCAGATTAGCAGCTTATGGGAGGCCCGTTAATCTGCCAGCACCCTATATGAAAACACACAAAAATGAAAGTGGAACCCTAGAGACAGGGCTGGGGCCAAGGAGAAGACTCTGGAACCGCGTGGGGGGTATCTTTAGGCCTGGCCAGCAGCAATGGGGGAGGGCCCGTTTCTGCCAGCACCCTATGGACAAAATGGATCCCCTGAGGCTGGGGCAGGCAGAACCGCCGTATCTTTATCACGGTTTTCCCAGGCCACCGATTGACGCTTGCATATGCTGATGCAACCCTGTAGTCCCAACATGGGCCCCCTGGCCACGCTTGACTTTCTGGCCACATAGTCGACATACAACGGGCTACATTTACTTCCTGGGCGGCTTGACGAAATTAATGCCACACCGCCGAGTAGGAAACTTTGCCCCCGCTACTCCTCACTGGCTGACTGCTACTTCCTCCGTGCACACCGGCACCACTACTGGCCGTGGTGGTAGGCTGCAGTGGAGCTGGTGCTCTACTCCGTGGCCGTTTGCCTCCACTGACACTGCTGCGACCCTGCTGCCTCCTGGGCAGCAGCAATGGGAGGGCACGTACAGGGACCCATGACACACTGCTTTGGACCTGGCAGCAGCATGAAAGGCGGGTACAGGGGCCCATGGCAGATTAGGGGCCTGGCAGCAGCAATGGGAGGCCCGTAATCTGCCAGCACCCTATGACAAAAAATGTAACACACACCAGCAGTGTGTGAGGAGACCTGAAAGTGGCACATGGCAGAGTGTGGCGATGGTAGACAGCAGCAATGGGAGGCCGGTACAGGGACCCGATGAGACAGACTCTGGACCTGGCAGCAGCATGAGGAGGCGGTACACGGGGCCCATGGCAGATTAGGGGCCTGGCAGCAGCAATGGGTAAAGGCCCGTAATCTGCCAGCCACCCTATGACAAAAAATGTAACACACCAGCAGTGTGTGAGGAGACCTGAAAGTGGCACATGGCAGAGAGTGTGGCGGATGGAGACAGCAGCTGTGGACCGTACATGGGCGATTGCAGACACTGTGGACCTGGCTTGCAGATGGACGGTGGTACAGGGGCCCATGGCAGATTAGGCGCCTGGCAGCGAGCTATGGGAGGCCTCGTAATCTGCCAGCACCCCTATGACAGAAAAAAAATGGAACACACCAGCAGTGTGTGAGGAGACCTGAAAGTGGCACATGGCAGAGTGTGGCGATGGAGACAGCAGCAATGGGATGGCCGTACAGGGACCGATGAGATCACTGTGGACCTGGCAGCAAGCTTGCTGAGGAGGCGGTACAGGAGCCCATGGCAGATTAGGGGCCCTGGCAGCAGCAATGGGAGGCCCGCGTAATCTGTCACAGCACCCTATGACAAAAAATGTAACACACCAGCAGTGTGTGAGGAGACCTGAGAAAGTGGCACTCATGGCCTGAGTTGTGGCAGATGGAGACAAGCAGCAATGGGAGGCCGTTTAACCAGGACCCATGAGAGACTCTGGACCTGGCAAGCAGACAATGAGGAGGCGGTTTATATAGGGGGCCCATGGCAGAATAGGGGCTGGCTGAGAGCTAGCTATTGGGGAGGCCCGTTTAATCTGCCAGCAACCTATGACAAAAATATGGAAAACACTAGGAGCAGCAGTGTGAGGGTAGACCTGAATTGTGGGCACATGTTTGGCCGGCGATGATTTCATGGCAGATTTTAGTCAGTTGTTGTCAGGAACTGGTGTGGTTTGAAATCCCAGGACTAATCCACGCCTTTATTCCATTTTCCACAAACGTGAGTCTCTCCTATACACTTTGGGGTGGACAAGGACGTGTCCTCCCGGCGGACGTTGACAATTACCTTCCTGCCGCACTAATACACGCGCTCCGAAGCCAACGCAGATACTGGCGGGCATGCCCATGACTGCCTTTCAAGGGCAATTTCAGCTAGTTGGGGCCACATGAGTCCAAGTTTCGTTGCACATGGAGTCAAGGAGGATTGGTCTACCTCGGTTGGCCAAGGGGGTGCTGGTCCAGAGTAGGCCCATAGCCTGTTTGAGGTCAGGCTCCAGGTCCACCTGTATGCAGCTGCTGCTGCGGCTGGTTAGTAGTTTCCTCACTGGAGATGTGGAGAGAACAGCTACTCATCATCGACTGCGGACTGAGGCAAGCCGCTGCTGGTGGGAGCATACTCTGCTCGCTACCTCCCACCCCTCCCTGCTGCCATGGTCAGCGGAAACGCTTAGGAGCGCACAGGACCCACAGTGTCTGAGGCGGGTGGATGGACGTTGGCGCACAATAGGCCAGAGACCTGGCAGGTACTACATAGGTGGTTTTTTTATAGTGACGTTATTTTGGCCTCCCTCTCAAGCTAGGTGCTATGTGAAAAAGGCCACCATTTTTTGATCGGGTTAGCGTGAGGTCCAATCAGGGTGGGACAGCCAAAAAGTCATCCCCTCTGCCCCCCCCTTCTGATGGTGAGTTATTCGGCTGTCGCTTACGCAAATGCAAAACCCGAGCATGCTGATGGGCCATTTGTGCCAAGGTATTGCGAGGGTACTCACCTGCCTCCATCTACACTGCATACTGCCAACGGTGCGTTTTCTGGGTCCTCTGATCTCCTCCTCCTCCTACATACCAGATGCTCCTGCTCCTCCGACTCCTGTCCGCTGGCTGAGTGGAAAAAAGAACAAACTCACCCCATTTCACTCCAATAATTCTGGAGAACATAATGTCCTCCTCTTCCTCCTCCTCTTCTTCTGTCCTAGCCCCACAGGGGTCCATGTGGCGTTGTGATCTGGTGCGCCACAGTCTTACCGCTCCCTGACCAGCAATTTGTTAACAGCAATTTTGTGTTCCCAGGACGTGCAACTCGAGTAATGACGTCGTTCACATCCATCATTAGTCTCGCCGACTTCACGTAATTAATTGCGAAGCACTCCCTCAAAGGGACACTGGTGCAAGCGGCAGGTGTCACGCATGAGCTGCCAATGGCTGACTTCGATGTAGTTACACTGGGGAGTTGTACCTTTTATCCGCTTGTCACATCATGTAAATCGGATGATGGCCCTTGTCGCCTGTTCGTATATGGCGGTCTATCACATGTTTTGCTAGGCGTTGGTGAATTCCCCCAACCCTTTGTTTGCAATCGTCGCAGATCATGGCGATGCTAGTGGCATTCCGTTCTGCGCGTGCAGCTCAGGAGGGGTGCTGTTGCTTAGCGGTGTAGGAATTGGCTTGAAATGCCATGCAAAGTTTACAGTGGACATTTTAAGTGATGTCTTGCAAGTGCGGATGGTGGATTTTATGGAAACCTGCTTGTCACAACCTGATTGTAACACGTGAAAGCACCATGCATGGCGCATGGCACAACCTTGCCTTGACGCAGGAGCAAGACACCATGTTCTTTCCAGTTGTCGGTCATAACATGGTTCCGATTTGACAGTTTGCGCGGAGAGAACAGACCATCTGTCGAGTTCTCTGGTTCATTACACTGAGAAGTTCCTCCACTGTGTGACTAAGTTCGCCAAGGCATACCAGGTGCAGCACAGCGTGTGGACACCGTTGCGCCTGCACATGTGTTTAATGCCGGTCGGGTACGGCGTAATGGGACTTGGCTCGGGGGGGTGGCGGCTGAGGACACGGCGGAAGATAGAGGTGGTTAGAGGCGGATTATCTTTGCCGGACCAAGGACGTGCATACCGTGGAGAGGCAAAAGTGGCAGTGACCTGTCCCAAAGTTGCTTGTTGAGGCTGTGACGGCACCACGTTCACCCAGTGGGCGTAATTATCGAATGTACTGTCCCTGACCGTAGTTCAGCTTTTTCCCCACACAGGTCTGGCTGCTGTCCTCGTGCACTTTGGCAGAGACCGACATGCTCAAAGACTGGCCCACCATCTCTTCTACATGTGAAATGCAGGGGGCCTTGGCACTGCCTTTTTGGCGAAGCAATGAGGCTTGGCACTCTCCACCGCGGAGCGGGCCACAAGCCATCATTTCATCGGAAGGTGCTGAGTCCACCACTTGGAAAGGGAGGGACGTGCAGGCACCAGCAAACTTGGACAGGGAGGACGTTCAGCTTTTGCACGTTGGGTGCGTGTCGCAACTGTTGTCTCTTCGGAAACGGATTCCAGAAAGACTGCTGACGGAATCCGTGAAAAGAGGGAGTAGCAGGCTGAGAGGAGCATCAAGAAGAGCGGGAAGATGCCCAACGCGTGACAACTCCCTCAGCAGAAGGTGTTGGAGACTTGATGGTGATAGAGGGCGATTGACGTCGGGTGACGGAGCAAGTTACGGAGCGGGTGATGGAGCGGGGGCTGGGGAGGCAGAACCGCCGTATCTTTATCACGGTCTTCCCAGGGCCCACCAAATGGCGACGCTGCATATTTGCTGACGAACGCTGTAGTCCCAACATGGGCCCCCTGGCCACGCTTGACTTTCTGGCCACATTGTCGACATACGGCTACGTTTACTTCCTCGGGCGGCTTGACACAAATAATTGCCACACGCCGAGTAGGAAACTTTGCCCCGCTACCCCCGATACTCTCTCTACTGGTCTGACTGCTGCTTCCTCGTTGCCACACCTCAGCACCACTACATGGCCGGGGTGGTAGGCTTGCAGTGGAGCTGGTGCTGTACTCCGTGGCCCGTTTGCTTCCATGACACTGCTGCGACCCTGCTGCCTCCTGGGCAACCACCGGACTTGTTTTGCTCGTGCCAAGCTGCACCCTCTTCTCCTGATGATGCGGAAGCAATTGCATGATGTTGACGACGAGGCTGCCAAGTGCGTATCAGCCTCATCATCATCAATTCAGGGGGTCTCAGCCTCTCATACTAGCCCCCTCGGCTGCGTGTGGGTCATGGTGTACAGGACCTTGTTCTCCTAGGACCGGCTACCCCCACCCCCACACCCCTGAGCCAACTCTCCTCGCCAGAGTACTTTTTTTTTTATTTTCTTCGCCATTGGCTGCTTGAAAGAGGAGGCGGATGTCTCCACCCGTTCCTGACCGCCCTGCTGTTAGCTCTTCCATCACTGTACAGTGGGGCTGTGCCCCACAGACATGCAGATACTTCGACCTTGGTTGATGTGGGAACAACCATAAGTACAGTGGGCAGGTAGAGGACACGTGATTTCAGTGGGCTTTGCTCCCGGAGCCATTGCATACTAACGGTTGTGTGTCTGACGTACCCCTCTACCGACGGACGTTGGCTGTAAGGTGACAGAGGTGGAACTGGGAAGAGCGAAGACGTACCCGAGGCCAACCAATTGATGACTGGGCTGGGTTTGTCGGAGGAGACACGAACCGCTGGATTGACCACCGCGGAGCTCTCTGGCCTCTGGCTGCGGGACTTAGTGCTGCTAAGACCCTTCTTCTCGCTGGCACTGTATCCTCGCTCGCTCTAAAACATTGCCTCCTCTGCCACTCATTCTGCATTGTTGTCTGAACATAACTCTTTAAAATTAAAACGGATTCTGTGCATCTACATGAGTAACAATTCAATGTCTGTCCCTGTGTATCCATTTCTGGTGTCCCATGAGTAACCAATTCTGTGTCCCTGAGTATCAATTTCTGTGTCGCCTCCAGTAACAATTCTGTGTCCCTCAGTAAACAATTCTGTTGTCCCTCAGTATATACATATTCTGTGGTCCCTCAGTAACAATCTGTGTGTGTCCCTCAGTAACAAGTCTGTCTCTACTGTGTGTACCTCATGTAACCCAATTCTGTGTCCTCAGTAACAATTCTGTGTACTTCGAGTAAACAATTTCTGTGTCTTGTCCTCATTAAACAAGATCTGTGTCACTGTCCCTCAGTATTAACAATTCTGTGTCCCTTCAGGTAACTAATTCTGTGTCCGCTCAGTAACAATTCTGTGTCTGTCGCTGCTGTACACAATTCTGTGGCCCTAAGTAACGGTTCTGTGGGCCCTACATAACGGGTCTGTGGCCCTCTGGTAACAAATTCTGTGTCCCTCAGTATCAATTCCGTGTCTCTGCCTTTCCCATCAGTAAACAATTTCTGTGTGTATCCCTCAGTAAACGAATTTTCTGTGTCTGTCCATGAGTAACAATTCTGTGTCTGTCCCTGAAGTAACACAAGTCTGTGTCCTCAGTAACAATTCTCGTCTGTCCCTCGAGTAACAATTCGGTGTTCTGTCCGACCTAACAATTCCTGTGTCTGTCCCTTCAGTAAACAATTCTGTGTCTGTCCCTCAGTAACAATTCGGTGTCTGTCCCTCATAACAATTCTGTGTCTGTCCCTCAGTAACAATTCATGTGTTCTGTCCCTCAGTTAACAATTC